TTTCTGAACAGTCTTCCTGTTAGTGACCCTTTTGTGTGACGCTTCCTTGACAGTTTGTGATTAAGCCCCATTGCTTTCTTTGTCTTTGTTACCAACCGGTATTTCTGCATAACCTTCATTGTTGCTATTTCTGACAAAGTTTTCTTTTTCTGTCTTTTTTCATTTCTGTATTTATCTTGCAGAGCATCACTTAGTGCAAAATGAAATAGCAGGGTTCTTTTAACCTTTTGAGTTGATTTCTTCTTTTCTTCTCCTCATTAGCTGTATTTTGGAAAGTCCCAGGCCTTGTAATAGCTTTCTTGTCTTCTTCCGAGGTGTTTCTGTGTCAGTTTGATCAGTTTTTTGTTTTCTCTCTTATCCACCTTTACATGTACATATTAGTTTTCTTTTTCTCTGCTTCGATTTGCTTTTTCAAAATTTCATTATCTCTATAGCATTTGGCTTGTGATCTTTTCTTCCGCTTCTGTCCTGATGACTGTTGATAGGAGACACCCGGTTGGATTGCATCTGTGGGAGACTAGGGTGGTGTAATTTCTTCAATATTTTCAAGGCTTTTCTGTCTTTTTCTGTGCTGTCTTTGATGATTCCTCCATTGTTTCCTGACAGCTCGCAGTCCTCTTTCAGAAAGTTGTCCTGCTTTCTTGCGTTGTCCAACTTTGAGGTCCTGCTTATACTTTTCCCTTTTCTGTTCTAGGTAAGCTGCACGCCTGTCAGGATCTTGATCTCGCTTTTGTCTAAACTTTCTTTGGCGGTCAGCATTTGTCATGGCCTTCTTACCCAGCATGATGATAGATGTTTCTACAAAACCAAAATACCAATGTCAGTGACATAACATAACATAACATAAGGATGCTGCGTAAACACAGCTTTTGAAGTGTTTGTATGTGTCAACAGCTTTTGAAGTTTTTGAATATATCAGTATAATTTTAAAACAACAAAACAATACCAAATGCAAGATATTGCTTGTTTACATTATAAGAACAACTTTCTAAATATCATTGGTGTAACAAATTTTAGTCACTGGAGTATGACAGCTTGATGGTGCCGTATCTATAGAAAATGGGAAATTTCAGATTTTTTCTTTCAGTAATAAATGGAATAACAAGTTATTCATTATTTTATTTCTCATATATTGATCAATTATAATCATTTAAGTCCACTGCCACTGAAAAATTGCATGTTCTTTATTCTCATTTGAAAATCTTACCTTTGAAACACAAAATGTGAAAAACAGACAATTCTGTTCTAATCCAGACCACTATTTAAACACACCTGGGGAAAAAAATATAGTATTTGAGATCATCATTTATAAGATTTATAATCAAAGAAGTGAAAATGTCAGTGGTGTTACAGATTTGTCAGTGGCATAACAAATTGAACAAACCATAGCATACAAAATGTAGCAATATTACTTTCATGGTGTTTTTCTTTAACAAAATTTGTTATAAACATATTTTTTTATAAAATATACTAGATAAATACAATGCAAAGCAGTTGAGTTCTGTGAACAAGTGACTTAAATGAACATTTTGTCAATGGTGTAACAAAAACTGTCAATAGTGTAACATTTTCCCATGTTATACCACTGACAGTTACACCACTGACCCATTCCCATAAATTATGAAATTTATAACAATTAATGCTCCCTAACCACTGACTTCATGGCATAAATGTTGATGTTTCATTAACTCTGATTTACTTTAAATAAGCAATGTTATGAAAAATTACATATGAATGAGTAATCAGCGTTACACAACTGACTTGATAAAAAGTTATGATACAAAGTAGACTCACCAACTGCATCAGCCTTCAACTTCAAAATGAAATTTTCTCTCCAGAAAACTTCTGCCATCAGGAGGAAGTCATCAGCAAAGGGACCAGTTAGTAATTCATATTTTACTCAAGGGAGATAATTAATAATGTCACAAGTTTATATTCGTTACACCACTGACTGTGACATTTTGGACATCCATTGTTTTCATCGTAATTATGGGATTTTAATTTTTTTTCTTCAATATTTCATGCAGGAGTGTGTTTTTAATATTGGTATTTCATTATAAATCTTTAAAAAATTTATATAAATGGCCTTGGATTTAAAATTTATGGTACTGCAAAGTAATGTCGTTGTCCACTGACAGTTTTTTTTCTTTCAAAATGACGATAAAAAAGCAATTTTGTCCCTATAAGAACAAACAGGTACACCATTTTACATCATTATGAGGAACAAAATACTTTTGTTTTTGATAATATGATTAAAAAAAAATAAATGAAACAATATTTTCAGAGCAATGTGCTACTGACCAAAAGTTTTGAGAATGACCCTTATACCAAATGGAATTTGCTTCTGAGTATAGTGAAAAGTGGGTATTTTTATACACAGACACTTCAAGCTTTCCTTTCAATTACACGAAACATACTTGATGAAAGTTGGAACTCAAAAACATTGATCATCTTGGGAATATTAGAATTACACAGATATTCCAACAACCGATAGTCGCCTGGCTATTCCATGTGGAAATAACAAACCTATTCACCGCGGTTATGATAAATATTGATCAAAACTAAATATTTAATTTAGTGGTATCTATCTCCATCAAATTAAATGGAACTTTTGTCAAATTTGGAATTGATGGCTAAGTTACTGCCATCACCAAGAAAGTATCCATACAAGGTGTAACTTCGTACGATTACCAGAATCCAATTCCAATAGCTAATCAGATTTCCTCCAGCACATACTCCCAGCCATTCTACAGTTACCATTGCCATCAACCGACGACAGACCCAGAGTTGATTTATTTTATAGAATCCATGATATAACTTGAACATTAGTTACTCCCATAGACTCCTGTTACAACGTCTGGACCCATGTGGAGCAACGTCTGAGTTTAGTAAGAAATCTCAGCTAATAGTTCTCTACGTCCTGATATAACCACTGCGTTTACTGTCAGTCAAATAGTCTGGTTTCAGTTGGTCTTATCGGTATCGCCAATTATTGGTTTGGTACAACAACCTTACAGACTGTCTACATCTACACAGATTCTAATCAAAACATAAGCACCGCCTTTCCTAAACGATCACGCGTATTCCGAAGGGCTCTAATGCGGCAATGCCTTTATTATAATCTGGTCTTCAGCGTTTATTACGTCATGTCAGCTGAATATGCCTAAGGGTATTATCACATGTCAAGACGGTCCTACGATTCTAAAATTATCTTCTTGTTCAATCACGCTTACTAAAAGCATATATGATCACAAGCTGACTCTGTTCCAAATTACCTGTTACCAGTCTGCTGAACATGGCGCCACCACACATCTTTGATGAGGAGCCAAAGGGATGCAATTACGTTTAGACGCAACACACTTGACTTAAGCTCTTCAAGGATAATGCTGATTGAGCACCACACACTCCGGAAGAAAGTGTTATTTCTTCCGATCTTGACCACATTCATCCATTGTTAAGGGAGATCGAAATGATTTTTCGCTTGACAAAAGTAGGAGTGTTTGTTTATAAGCGCTAAAATAGATCTTCAAGAGTACGTCTAAATACGTGAAGCCGGAGAGAGACCTTGTCCTCAAGAATCCCTTGGTATTTCAAAAGGAATAAACCCATTACGCTTAAACTGTAACACCAACAGATCCATTGTACAGATGGCTCCAGACAGTGGTACCTCCAGCTCTGCTACTATCACTGGATCCAAGATCTCCTCAAGAATCCCCGACAATAGTTCAAATCTTCAATGCTGAGGCCAAACCTATTTTTAATACAGCTTTGACCTGTATTAAACAACAAAACCATTCGAAAAATGTCATCACCTTTTTCAGAATCATTGTCTTACCTTCGGGAATATCAAAGTGATCCCTCAAATCATTTTCGCCACGTGTGCACGTGTGCCATCACCTTTTGCTGGCAAAATAGGCTTAGCAGGTAACACAAAAGGGCGACTCTCAACAAACCGTTGTCGCCACTGTCAAAAGTTATATTTGGAATGGTGTGAACCCAGGTAGGAATTAATAACCTTCATAAATATTAAATCAACAATCGGTCATACATTGGGTTGTCAGACAGGGCAAGACGATGTCATTTGGAGACGTGGCATTGGCATCTGTCGGTTTGCTCACGCATATCTGGAACGAGCTCCCGAGAAATGTCCCTTGTGATGAATAGCTTACCGTTAAGCATATCATTCTTGAGTTTGTTCATTTTGCATTTGCAAGGGATTCATGTTATCATGCAGTAAACTTGAATGATCTGTTTACCCGGGTGAGCTGCCGCCTTATAATGCATTACCTGAAAGGAAATTGCACTGTGTCACAAAGTTATATATATTAGTGTATATCTAGATGCTTCTTTTAATATGTGCGCTCTTAACTCGCGTGTTAAATTTCAACGATTTACCAATCGCCCGTGTTCTAAATTTTAAATGCTATTATAACGCTCTAATGTGCATTTGTAGAGAATTGCTTCCGAATGTGTTTGTTTTGTATAGTGAGCTTTTGCATAAGTTTGAACTTGCCTCGTCGCTACATGGATAAAGGAAAGCCGATGCCACGTAGAAGTTAACTCACTTACTCACTCACTTCAGAATACATTTAGAAAATGACTGTGACAGTTGTATTAAAAACACAACGCTCAGAGAATGGACGGCATGTCAGCACCCTTCTTCGTAGCATATATTACTCAATACAAGTTGTAAGACCACCCTCTCTCTCATTACTATATTAAGATGAATTATATTATTGTTACGGAATCGGGTGCTCTTTGAATATATTTCCATTTCTTCGATTTTCAAACATAACATATAAAGGTTTTATTGTTAGTTACAATAAAGATATTTTGTTTAATTTCACGACCATTTCTATTACCTGTGAAATTTGGAAATGAGCGAATTAATATCTAAGTTCGAATCGGATTTTTCACCTGTATAGCGACGAGAACAAGTTAATGTATATACACAAATGAATATATATAAAGACGAATTCGCCATACACATTTTAATATTACAAAACTAGTTGTAACTGTTCAAGATACAGGCGGAGACCATGAGGACTGAAGGTGCCTTTGCTTCCTCCACAATACTCCTGAAGGTTTTACGGCATCATTTAATTTAGCTATTGGAGGTTGTACGCCACTATTTGAAAACTTTAAACAAAGATTTTTCTTAAAACACTAGATGATGACACTTACATTGATTTCGATAGGAACCACATGTGAGGATCGACCGTTAAGGCACTTTACGGTACTTCAACCTCCTGAACAGAGCCTTCAATCATCTCCGTTCAATACCCATCACATCAAATTAAGAATTTAAGCAATTTGTTGCACAAAAACATATTTACAGTGTATGAGGATGACCCTGTTAGGATGAGGATGGCAATGGTAATTTGTCTTTCATGTAATACAAACGGTCGGTGAGTTAGTCTGGGTGTGAAATCGTGTGTTCGTAACGCCGATGATCTGTGATTGATTCCTCATGTTGGTACAATGTGTGAAGCCCATTATGTGGTCTTTCGCTGTGTTGTTACTGGTATTTTGCTGAAACTGGATTATACCCTAGAATATACCTCACCTTTTCATGGCGAGTGCTTCCTGAAGCACAGACACGTCCCTGTAAATACATACCTTGTCACTGACTCCTGTCCTGCGTTCTTCCCTAGGGTGAGCACGGGACTGTAAGTGATTATTGCTTAAGGCCGCATGACGGTGTGACATTTTTTTAATTGTATATAGCTCCCATCGTCGACACTGCAAGTCGATCCTTTTTCCTCCTCCTCGATGTGAGTTAAGATCCAACAGGACTCATTATCATCATTAGCATTGAACTTTCCTGTTACATTTTTATTGGAATGATGGTATGATGAAAAGGACAATCGGATTACAATGTCAAAGTGTGATTACATTCGGGAAAATGAACAAGTGTGTTTTCTAACAAAGCAGGTAAAAACGACACATGATGACCATTCAAATCGAAAGCCAAACAATCTGAGATAGTGTGAAGTGACGTTACCTATTTCTAGCCAATGGCTCCACAGTGGGTTTTGACTGAGCTAGATGAGGCAACTAGATTTTGTCAGCTGTGTTTTGTTAGCGTCTTAACAAATATTACCGACAATCAGGAGGAGGGACGATGGGGTAGCCTAGTGGGTCACGCCTTCCCGAAGACTCAGCGATGGGAACGATGTGTGAAGCTAATTTATTGTGTCCACACAATGACATTGCTGAACTATTGCCAAATGCGACGTTAAACCATACTCACCCTAAAAAGAAAACGTTATACATTGACGGAACACTTTTACGGTGCGACTTGTTGGATACCACTTGTAGTAATTTTAGCTGTATATTACTCCGTACAGAGTAACCTCCCTTTGAATTGTCGGTTCTTTCACCTTTGTCGCTTTATGGCGGATGCCAGTTACAAAATTGTGGCAAATAAGATGGCAAAATTCGATGTTTGGCAACAACTAGTTGACAATTGAGCATGGCGAAGCTGTGTGCCATAAATGGAATCGGGAGGCCAAATTTCCAGGAGTATGATGAGTGTAAAACTTCCTCCCCTAGAAATTAGTTCAGTGATTTTGTAAAAGAAAAGAAGACAACCTATAAACAGTTACTTTCGAGAAACGTATTTTGAATAAATGAATGGTCCCAGTCCCTTTAGTGATTATGTCCGTGAGTAAATTGTGCAATATGAGTGCATTGGTACAGGAATGGTGAGCTTCCCGGGGCCAAATGTCCAAGGAGGGCTTTTATCACAATAGTAAATGATACAGGGCTGTTCAAGACACTGTGATAGGAAATGCCTTGATCAAATTGTTTTATGTCCATTACCGATGGACGTCCTAGTTTTTACAAATGCACGAAGTACAGACACTTTTGTTTCATCACTTATGTTTGAAATCGTTTTAGGCAACACCCTCCAAGAGAACTTGTGAAGAAGCAAAGATTTCTAGAAAGTCCTAAAATGTCGGTAATCTGTGTTGCACTCTATCGCAGTTTCATCGCGTGCATCTCAATGTATTGCTACTGTCAGTTTCTATCTCTGTTCTGTTTGAATGTACGAGGTATTGTGATTCTGTTAGTAAACTGTAACAAAGTGTTCACAGGAAACTTTCCTTTCACACATTCAGCAATAATGTCATTGTGTAGGATATCATATTTGCTGTGTCCAAAAGCATGGAGCACTTGACAACCTCTCAGGTTTTCTACACGAAAAGACCCTCGGAAACATGAAGATAAAATGGCGATCAAATGGCACAATTTGTGAATTCTGTTTCTGAAATTGTTTTATGTATAAGGAAGATGATCAGTGGAAAGATGTCGCATAGCCTTAAAGTGAGTGAGTGAGTTATTATTTAACGTCACATCGGCAATATTTCAGCCATATCGTGACGAGAACACTTGACATTGAAATAGAATATATATAGAGATTATAAAAACCTGCCGACAAAGGACAGTAAAGCAACTAGGGTATCACAGATATACATGGAAAACTAGTAATTGAATCTAAAATATTTTAACTACAGGGGACAACTCAATATAAAAATAGGCTATAGATCACCAACAACTGAAGGCAGATCACCATACTCTAGGGTCCATGGGGACTTACGCATAGCCTTAAAGGTTACTTACATGCAGGTTTTTCAGTAATATTGAGTAATCTGGTATGGGAGTTGAAACTTCTTTTGTCGTTATTTTCAGAGGGGAAACGAAGTAACAGTTATTCCTTCTGCATGGGGTACAGAAGATGATGGCAAACGCTTCCTCGAAAGGTTAGAGGTCAAGTAAAGTTAGTAGTTCGTTACGCTCGTTTAAAAGAACAACCACAAGTCGTAAGGACATGTAGCGAAAATTGGAATTGAGGTAAATATATTTTGTGAGAGACAGCTTTGTAAATCATTTTGTTCATCACACATATGTAGAAGACTAGTAACACGCAAGCTTCTGTCAGTGTTTCCAAGAGAAACAGACAAAGCCACTACACATCAGATGAGTTGGCATTGCCTTTGTCACCCTTTGATTCCAAACGGATTACTGGCCATGGGTATCAGTCCGTAAAAGAACTTTGTGTGAAACCAACGAATGAAGAAATGTGTGTTATTAACAATTGTACAAGCCACTACACATCAGATGAGTTGACATTGCTTGCGAAGTTAAACTTCGTGGAGTTTGTCACCCTTTGATTCCCAAAGGTTTACCGGGTATCAGTCGGCAAAGGAACTTCGTGTGAAACCAACAAATGAAGAAATGTGTTGTTAACACTTGTACGCTAAAACTAATTACGTTCACAAATCACATACAAAGAAATCTGAAGAAATCTGAAAGCAAACGATTGATCTACAAACAAGAATACAACCAATTAAAAAACACTTATGATTATTACAAATCTATTTTGAATACAGAACAATTTCTTTAAGATTACCCAACAACAGCTCCATTTCCTGAGACGAATGAAACGCCACTTTAACTGCTCTTAAGTATATCATTAAACAGTGAAAATAGAAACTTTACATGATATTTTCCGATTGTCTTCCATACCTTTAGGCCATTACAAATATATCAAATAAACATCCACTTTGAATTGAAATTCTCGAATAACATAATGATCTTGATCTAACAGAATGACATTTAGGATCTAATGTTAAATAGGTGGAACATCCACGTTGGTATGAATAAATTACTTGCAATAAAGCCAACTGTTGGTTAAACCTACTTGGACTGTGAGTCCAGATTTTGAAGATCGCATCATGTTGTATCAGCCACTCCAGATACACCTATTAACATTTACTGAAAGTTGAGGATCGTCAGTTTTGAATCCCTTGCGATGAAGGAATCACCGTCAAGAATGTACTGCGTAATTGTATTGATTTTCCATCACAAAAGATCCATATTTCCATTCTTTATACTACTAGTTCTCATTTAATCAATGATTTTTAAAGGAAATTGAACTTTTTGAAAAATTCTAATATTGGTATAACAAGTAACTGAAATGGTAGTACCCTCCAGGGGGTTTGAAGTACTACAGTATATACAATGTAGTACTAAAGAGGATACCGTAAGACTATTCGCTCAAATAATGTTATTACTATCACAGTCTTAATCGCACTATTTTGTCTGTTTTGGGGACAACCGAAGAACCGAGTTCAGGCATTGTCAATCCCGTGGTGATTTCGGGTCATAAAAGGTCCAAAGCAACCTATACTGATCATGGGAAGCGACTTCTGGATAGCGTGGTCAGTCGTACGTCGACGTGATGGGATGTTTGTCGCTATATCACTGTTTATTCTGGACCAGACTCGATTATTTCTTTGTTACAGCATACCCGATAAAGGTTCTCATGCTTTTTCTGTCAAACGAAGTTAAGTTAATTTGCGATGTTTGTGACTTGTCTTTGAACTTAAATCTTGTAAGAGATCCAATGCAATTAGAAATATATTAACGCCACATATTCCAGCTATATATATCACCGCAGTCTGGTCTGTAAATTATCGAATCGAGACCAGACAATCCAGTAATTGACAATTACACGATTGGGACATGGCATGAAATCAGCCGAGTCTGAAATGATGATCCATTTAGTCGCCTCTTATAAGAATAGGTTGCATTAATTCTTCTTCTAATCCCTATAGAAGAAATCCCTATAGGATCGGGCCTCCGTGGTGTAGTGGTTAGAGCGTCCGCCCGGAGAGCGAAAGGTCGCGGGTTCGATCCCCGACCGCGTCATACCAAAAGATGTTAAAATATGGTACTTGTTGGTCCCTGCCTGGCGCTCGGCATTAATGGGTACAACAAGGACTGGTCGGCTCGGAGTCAGTATAATGTGTCTGAGTGGGGTATTCATGCTTCACTGCGGCATGGTATTTCAGTGGGCTAGCACTATAAAACCAGCTTAAGTCTGGGCTAGTACATGCAGCCGCACATATAATACACACGCATGCACGTCGTCATATGAGCGAAATATTCTCAAGCACGACGTTAAACCCAATTTCACCTCACCTCACCTCTAATCCGGAATCGCCACGAATCCATGAATGAAGTTTAATGAGTTTGATGAGAAGCTAGGGGTCCATTTGTTTTAGTTGAAGTATATTAAATTCTAACCTGCAGTGAGTGAGTATGGTTTTACGCTGCTTATAGCAATATTCCAACAACATCACGGCGAGGGAGACCAGAAATTGGCTTCACACACTGTACCCATGAAGTGAATACAACCCGGATCTTCAGGGCGACGAGTGAACGCTTTAAGCACTAAGCCACCGTCCCTTTAACCTGGAGACCCTCTATGTTAGTATGATATCAATTTAGCACACTGACAGGGAAGGCTTTCGAAAACGTATCATTTAGAATTTTGGAAACAATAAGTCTCCTTTTGCACCATAATCCGAAAATACTTTCAAGCAATTTTGACAGAGTTGTTGTAAAAGTAAAATCTCTTGCTAAAACATCTCAAGCAAATCTGACGATACACCCCTTGGATGTTTTATGCTGCGACACAAATCTTAAAAGACAACCTGGCGCCACATCAGACCGATATGAAGCTGAACTGTGAACTGAAGGCAATAAAGTTAATAACTTGTACACTGACTTGTACATTGATGGATGCACAGCAGTGCCATAATTCGTTGACGGTATACAATCCCAGCTAACACTTTCACGTTGTCACAACGTTATGCTTTCCTTGTTACAACGTTATTTTGTGGACTCCCAGTTATGCTGTCACAACGTTTGGGCTGACGTTGTGATACGTCATTTTACGTCGCCACAGGCTTACAGTTATTTGATGCTTTCTTTTACGTTGTCTTCTATTTTACGTTTTCCCAGTAGTGAACAGTACATAAAAAACAAAACAGAAATTGATATCAATGTCTATTCGTCAATTTGCATGTTGTTTTTGGTCGTGTGTCTTCTGAAGTTGTAGCTGAATAGTGAAAAAAGAATCTCAGAGTGAAATATTGTACAAAAGCTCTCTCGTGACACCAAGTTATAAGAAACGTTGTTATAACGTTGTGAGGAGCCCAAAGCATAACGTTTCCTCAACGTGGCCAAAACGTTGAGTGTTAGCTGGGATGTATCGCACTTCAACACACGTTAGTTTCTACCGTGATACTAACTTTGAAAACAATAGATTCCTTGGAATTTTTGATTGAGATGTCAGGGGTCATGGTGCTTGAAAGTGGACAAATCTGGCTAATACCGAAGTCTCGTGTCTACAGTCGGCCGATGGCGTTTTCCGTTAGGACTGTCAGTAAATCGTGGCATGTTTCCCTTTTCACTTGCGGTACAATGGTGATGACAGACAAATGAAAACACATCATTTTCATAGCCCAACAGTTCACTCTGCATGTTCTTTCCATGTTGAATGTTTCGTTTTCGTTTATCGCGGTACTTTATTAGCGGTGCTGTATTCTACCTGCACAAACCACCCCAGATGCAAGATACAGACATGAGAAATTCATAATTGGTGATATTCATTTGTTTAAAAACTCAGTCATTGTGATGATTTTTCTTGTTTTGTTTGGTTTGGTTTTTGGTTGTTGTTTTTTACAGAGTTTGCTTATAAGGTATGCTTCCAAAGCAGTGGAAAAGACTACAATAGACAAGAGGGCTATAGATCCCCAGCAGCTAAAGGGAGATCACCATACCAGGGACCATGGGGATTTACAGTACCTTTGCTACCTGCATGGGCCCCAGCATGATTTACATCATCCCTCTAGCAACTGACGATTATCAGCAAATTTAGCCAAACTTAAGATAACACAATTTCAATGACTAAGGCCATGGCAATGATAAACATACTCTGAATGATGTTGTCCAGGAAATTTGGTCTGTTCGTGGTTTATCTCTTTGTGCCGGGCGCCAGCGTAAAACATTTACGGAGCTATTTTCCGTACTACATTCTATAAAAACTTCTAACACGGTTAACTCACTTTGGTGTGTATGTATTTCACGTATTTTCTTCTGAAGACCGTCAGCATTGTGTACTTATTATATCTTCTTTAAGCTATATATGATTATGCCATTGCTCGGCGACTTTGTGTATCTCGCGGCCATGGGATGGTATCAGAAAGACTCTCTTTCCACTGGACGACGGAGCCGTCCGATCCTACAGGGTGAGGTGAGGTGAAATTGGGTTTTACGCCGTACTTGAGAATATTTCGCTCATATGACGACGTGCATGCGGGTGTATGTGTATGTACGGCTGCTTGTACTAGCCCAGACTTAAGCTGGTTTTATAGTGCTAGCCCACTGAGATACCATGCCGCAGTGAAGCATGAATACCCCACTCAGACACATTATACTGACTCCGAGCCGACCAGTCCTTGTTGTACCCATTAATGCCGAGCGCCAGGCAGGGACCAACAAACACCATATTTTAACGTCTTTTTGGTATGACGCGTTCGGGGATCGAACCCACGACCTTCCGCTCTCCGGGCGGACGCTCTAACCACTACACCACGGAGGCGGTCCCGATCCTACAGGAATATCTTTAGAATTCATTTATACCATGACTGTGCCTTCACATAGCCAAGTAGACATTGCATAAATCAAGTGGTTTCTTGGGCATATTTAGGCCACGGTTCAAATCCTATCGATCCAATCAACAGTATCTGTGTTACTGGAAAAATGATATATAGCTCGTGATCGTCAATTTCGTGTGTGCAAGACACTTCTGTAGAGGTTAACCAATCTGGAATGCTTAGTGGGATTTGTTTTCAGCCATTCCATTACGTGTGTAACGGGCTTATTGTGGTTGTTGTTGATGACATTCTGTGATTTTGTATGAATGAAAACAGGGTCCGGTATGACCGTTATGAGTGACCTCTAGCTAGCACTGCAAGTTAATCAAAACAAATAGGCGGAGATCAGTCCGGTTTAGCACGTACGAATTAAGCACCTTCATCTCTTCCTGAAGTGGGTAATAAACAACAATACTTCACCAGGGTGAATAGTCTCTGGTTTCACCAGTAATTGTATGACTTTATCAGTGATGGCCTGGTACATGTCAAGATAGATTTAGTTCGTATTTGGAGAAAGGACCTGACCATCCGACAAGCCTGGGTTGTTGAAGACTAATTTTACCTCGGATCTTCACGGGTCATCCTTTCATATATCACGCAAGAGTCATGAACATCTTGCATAGATTATCAGCCGGAACGTATTCCATTTGGGCTTAAGGCAGAACAGGGGTAAGAAATTTATGATTTGATCACTGAAAATGAATGATGACATAGATCGACACGACTTAATTTCACCTTAAGGCCATCCATATTCTTGAAATATGTTTCTCATCTCCAAACTCGAGCAGCAAAAGAGCGGCGGGCGGGCGGAAATAAGAAATTTAAAACATGTTTCACTAACTGTGTAACTTATTTCATGAAATTATGAAACGTAGACATCTTGGTAAAAGTCCTTAACGTTATCTATGTATGTCAAGTCATCTTGCTTCGGAAACATGTTTTAATATAGATGAGAGTGTATATGTTATCCAGACGCGTAGCAAGTCAATTTCTTCGTGTAAGCCCAGTTGGTTGCAAAGCTTTATATTTAGATAGTATTGAGAGCTTGCCCAACCTTTTTAGCAACAATCATGCATGTGTAAGCCCGGGCGTTTTTTCATAATGATAGCTACGCCCCTGTTATCACAGCGGGGCATAAATGTCCACAGCAACGAGGAAAGGGAGATAAGACTAGTTTGTTTCATTTCGTACCCGAAAGACGGGTAACACGAAAAATACAGCTTAATTGTCTGTTTCATTACCACAAACAAGAATATGCATGTGAGTGAATATTGTATTCAGTGATGGAAATGCAGTATTCAACCTTGTCCCAGAGAGGAATACCAAAGACTAACCATTGAGGAGACGGTCAGGACTAGTACACTTTGTAAACGCCAGCTACACCAGCGGCATCATTCATAGGCAGCCATTTACGAATACTGGCTACAAGAAAATTACGATATTCCTTACTGCTACCCACCTCCAAACCTACCTAAGCTGCCAAAAGGTGACATGGCAAACTTTAAAATAGTGGAGTTAAATCTAGTGTCGCATCAGCTCAATTTCAGCCATATAGCGACGCTGAAATATCGAGCAAACCGACGCCCAGGGAGCGCGGTCCAACAACCGTATGTTTTTTTATTAAATATCTGGTATGTCAGCTTATAAAATAAATAACTGAGCTGACCCCTCGTGCCTCTGAGTCGATTCCACTCAACAAATCTGTGACACCACTTCTTATTCCATACTCTGATTACAAAGCTAGCATTAGAACTTACATCCGTGATCTGATGCAGAAGACGTCGGACGCCCAAGTAGGTATAAATAAATTACATGAAAAAAAAACGTATATCGGCTACACCTACTTGGGTTGTCAGTCCAGATTTGAGGAGGTCATTATACGACGATGTCGTATTGGCCATACTAGATGAATACCTGTTAGAAGGTGAGGATCCTCCGTTTTGTATCCTTTGTGATGAGAGAATCACGGTCAAACATGTCCTGCTTGATTGTATTGATTTTTCCATCACAGGGGATAAATATTTCGATGTCAAAACAGCTAAGGATCTTTTTATAATAAAACTTATCATTTAATAATTGGTAATAGGTAAAAAGAATTTGTAAAGTTAATAGAATTATTAGATAAATTCTGAATAATATATTTTGTAAATAGATATATGGTATTTTAAACATGGTAGTATAAATTAGCAACTGCGATTGTTACTGGCTGTATCCTCAAAGGGGGTTAAAGTATCGTAAAATTATTGTCCTCCTGAGAGGATACGTAAGTCCAAAACTTATTTAAATTTAAAACTTACCACATTTTTAAAACGTAGTATTTTTGTTGTTTTAAAGTTCAGCTAAATATTTCCTACAATCGCCAGCGGCTGAAGGGATGGTATAAATCCAACTAGGGTTGGAAAGCAAAGGCACTGTAAGTCCTCATGGTCCCTCGTATGGTGATCCACCTTCAGGCGCTGGTGATTTATAGCCGTTTTTATAATGTATTGTCTTGCATTATAATCTAAGTTTTTAGTTACATCTCTATCTGTGATACACTAGTTGTTTTAATGTTCATCGTCAACAGAGTTTCAATTTCTATTTTCATTGATCTATAATATAATTATTAATTTTCTCGTCTCACTCACTGAGTCGATTACTATGGCCATCATATGTCGTCAGCGACCAGTTCGAACCCAGAAATCCCACGGAAGTCCCATCAACAATAAAAGGAACGGATCCCAACACAGCAGAACATTTAAATACACAATGCCTGTTTCACACGCATGTATTCACTTCCCACATATAATTCAACTCAGAACTTAACCCACTTCACCTCTTTTGATAGTTATTATTTATTTATTTCCTTGATACACAAAGCTGATTCTCGTACGCAAGGTGCACAAATGAATAGAATTACACTGATGGTTATTCCCACTGAAACAATACCTAAAGAAATTAAAGAACATCATATTTTTTTCCGTATTACTTATCTTAAGTAGGAAATATTACACGATATACTACATGCAGGAAACCTTGCAGACCGAAACATGAACAGTAAACCGTCAGATGAACAAAACATGACCCAACGAAATGACACTCAGTCTTCACTGTACACATTTTCTTCAATTTTCATGATACAAATGTATGTATTAAAAGATGTATTGTGATTAAAGTAATGTTCCAGATAAAACGGGAGTATATGACTTCCAATTTAGTTAAATGTGATATTATGTCCCATCTAATCAAGTCAGAATCGGTTTTAGTAGGGTCACAATCGTTTGTTATTCCTATTTCAATCAGTATGTTCGGTTGGGTTAATAGTGAGGGGGTTTAGTTTTACGCCGCACTCAGCAATATTCCAGCATTTTGACACTTTCCTTCATAAGTCCCCAAACATATTCTATTGGATTTAGGTCAGGGCTATAGCTTGGCCAATCTAATAATGTCATATTTTGGGTCCGAAACCAGGCCTGTGAATGCTTTGAACGATGTTTTGGGTCGTTGTCCTGTTGGAAAATCCAAACATTTCCATAGAACACGTGAGCAGATGGAAGTAAATGTCCCTCGAGAATATCTGTGTACCGCTCAGTGTTCATATTTCCTTGAAGTACACAGAGGGGCGCTGCCCCTAACACAGATATGCCACCCCACACGTTAAATTTCGGACTGTACTTTGGGCTCTGATACAAAGGTTTTTTCAGTTTGTTTGGTCCAGAATTTCAGTGTATTAGGAAACAGCCACACAGAACTTTCATCTGAGAAAATCACATTGTCCCAGTTAAAATTTCTCTGCTGTAAGCACCAGTTCAACATTCGCTCCTTTTGTTCAGGTTTCATGATCTGTGATGGAATTCCTCGACTTTTCTGCCTATATATGGCGGTGGTCTGTAAATAATCGCGTCTGGACAAGACAATCCAGTGATCAACATCATGAGCATCGATCTACGTAATTAGGATACGATGACATGTGTCAACCAAGTCAGCGAGCCTGACCACCCATCCTGTCAGTCGCCTCTTACGACAAGCATGGGTTACTGAAGATCAATTCTATGTCGGATCTTCACGGGTTCGGTTGGGTTAATAAGCGTCCAAGACTCGAGTGCTATTACCAACATAACTGCAATGATTGAAAACTACATCTGGTGTCCCGCAACGCGACATCGTGAACCATGTCTAAACCAGTGGCGTAAAAAAATCATACTTAATAAACCAAATACGACAGCAACTTTATATGCTTATAATCACATATGTCAAATGAAGAACATACCCATTGTATTCATTTGTCTGAAAACCAATGTTCAGAACCACTGTTCGCTGATTTTAAGTGGTCCAGTCCTACATTTTGTACAGTTATTTTGCCGTTTAAACCAAATAGAAACTGTGTCTGGGGGAAAGTGAAGACCTGCCCCGATTTCTCGAAGCAAACTTAAGTTTTTACTCAAATTTCAAACTGAGTTTGACAATTTGAAATAGATGAAGGTTTATCTCAACAGATTGACTGCATTTTAAAAATAAAATAGCCAAAACAACTGAAGTAATCTATCCACTAAACTCAAACTACTACGTTTGTCTACTACGTTTGAGTTTAATATCGATTTCAGTTCAATGTGGGAAATGCATTTTCTCAAATTTGAGTAAAAACTCTAACTTAAGTCAAAACTCAGACTTAAGTTTGTTTCGAGCAATCGGGCCCCAGGTTTATATGGAATTGTCACTGTACCTTCAACACTTTATCTCAAGGGAATATTCCCGATTTGTGTTGCTCAAAAAGTCCAACCAACGTCGTCCAATTCGTGCGATGTAAGTGTGCCCTGTTGTGGCGTTTGAAGTCCATAGTGTAATGTAGGACTCCGCCCTGTCCTTCATGATTGATATTCGGAAGCGGAATACGCCCCAAGAACCACGACCAGCTCGGATATGCTTGTGAGAAGGGAACAACTTGTCACCGAAAGGTAAACAGACCTCCCACCCCAAATACTTTTTAGCGTTTTAACTGATCAACTGCGACCAATTTGTTTTAGTACGTGAACAGCTCAAGATACTGTCAAAGAGTTTGCTATGGCTGTCCACCAGGCAGGAGACTGACAGTCGTCGACGGCACGATGTTAATATCTCGTGGCGATGATGAGAGTCGTCACACCAACCTTGATGTTGGACAAACCTGTGTGTCACTATAGTACGTTTGGCTCCAAATCGGACCGATGAATTGCAATCGAACTCGAAAACTAATAAACATAAAATACTCAATGAAACGCTGATCATAATCAAAACATCATACCCACTCTGTGAGGTTTTTGCAGAATTTTTGTCCTAAAAATAAAAAAGTTGTTTAACATACTATCATTAAAATATTGACTCAGTTCACTATTTGTTACGAGGGAGGAGTGCAGAGAAAGGGACAGCCAGGTGTGCGAGAACGGATGGAGACGGCACAGCACAGGTTAATGAATAAATAACTTTGTCTGTGAACGTGCTTCTCGAACACCTGGCTGTCCCTGGCTCTATATACATGTGGTTACATCGAAGATGAATTTCTCCACTAACTTAGGGGAACCAACTGCAAACCTTCTGCAGATGAATTGCACGAGGATCTTGCTTCAACTTGCTGAAAGGTATGTGCAAATATCGTGCATGTGAACAGCTGCGTTTTGGTGTAGAGTTTTGTTAAGAAATCGCCAATTTTTACTGATTTTCATCATTTATTCAACTCATGACAATGTTTTACAATACATCAGTTCATGTGTAAACAGTACCATTAAACTGTACAGAATATTTTGCAAAATCTAGTTTAGATCAGTTGATTGAAGTAAGTGGCTACATTTACACCAGTGAGTCTAAACTTTTGGTGCGAGTATATTAAAACTACCCATATCTATGCCAACAACATGTGGAACCAAAGGTTGGAAATACTGTATCATTTCAGCTGCAAGAACATAAGCAAACTGGTAATACGAAACTCGATTACAGGGGAGAAGAGAGCCGAAGTATGTCGCACCATAAACATTCACCATATCACGCACTCATGCTCAGCCATACACAATGTATAGACGCCTAGGTAGTGACAGCGTCACCGTTGTATGGGAGTGAGTGAGTTTCGTTTTACGCCGCTTTTAGCAATATTCTAGCAATATCACGGCGGGGACACCACAGATGGGCTTCACTCATTGTGGCGTTGTGGGAAATCGAACCCAGGTCTTCGACGTGACGAGGGAACGCTTTAACCATTAGGTTACCCCTCTGCCCCCCGTTGTATAAGAACCTGGTGGCTTGAAATAACGTCTAACTTCTGCAGCGACCCCTTCGTATTATGACATCACAGACCCTGGAGATTGATATTTTCTCCATTTACAGATGAAACGTCAACACCAGATAATAAAAAGTATTCACCAATTGGGTGATGGCGATATCAGATACGTATGGTCACTGAAAACGGTCACGACACCGGGTATTTGTATAGAGGGTAAGCATGCCCCGCCCAACCGAACATGGCTAGCCATTCGTGTCAGCCAATAGATATAATTCCCTCTGCCACCACACCACAGCCACTACTACTCTACCAACACCACAAGAACAGAATAAACTCCTTTAGAAAGAAAGGTCCATGATTCTAAAAGAGAATAAGCCACTTATTATGTCTCATACACAACGAATCTGCGGAATAATCCAAAACAGGGCGTGCTCTTCGTTCGGGAACAAATAATGTCAAATAGGAACCTACGGCTACACATATGTGTAACTGAACCATACAATATGAATAAAGTAAAAGGCTTCTCCACAACGTTGAGCAGATTGCCATCAGTAGCCTCTCGAGACGAGGTTCAATGCCCCTTACAATTACACGTGGTACTATAATGGGAGGGAGCTAAAGCCGTCGAGGTAGGAATGTCTTTCATTGAACCGATAATTCGCGTTTTATTGTTGCCGGAGATTCGTTCGTTTCCGCAGGCTTCTACGTTAGCCGTTAGTGAGTAATTACTCGTCCTTAATATGGATGTAATTAGCTGGCGATTTCCGTTCATCTATGAGAGAAAGCAAGCGGAAGAAAGTCTCACGGTAGTGATGTACGCAGGCGGAGAAAGACTTTTCAGTGTCCCCTGGGATGTCATGGACCTTGGCACGGACCACGATGTTTTCCGTCAGGTTACCGCCGTCCTGGAAATGTACATCTAGATTTTAGCAGAAATGCCTTATGGACGTGGAAAGGGTTTTGTCGCTTCTGATTATGGTGATAATCACATTCTATTATAAATGTTTAAAAAGTGAAATTTCGGAATGAAAATGTCGAAATACATTTTAAAAGTTGTTCAACAGCAATTGTGCACATTGTCGTAACTATTCATAATATGATTTGGGAGGCTGCCAACCCCGATGGTACTTGGGTCTCGAATGAGCGAGTTTAAAGTTAACCTCGCATGAGCTTTATTTCAATATTGAGACTAGATCAAACTTAGTCATATACTTAAGTCACGTACAATCAATAGAACACTCACAGAACGGCTCAGGACACTGTAGTGGCGACTGTATTGAACATGCTCAAAGCAAACGCAGAGCGGTCGCCGTCATGGTGGATTGATCACATGAAGGAGGAGGGAAGGCAGACCGAAGGCAGAGCGAAGGCAGCGCCATCGCCGAGGTCGCAGAGTGAAGGCACAACGGTCGGCGAAAGGACGCCACATTAAAACTGCCTTCTCTCTGCCTTCATTGTGCGTCCGTCGAGCATCCATTGGCGTTCGTTGAGCATTCACTCTGCCTTCATTCAGCGACTAGCGCATCCCTTTGAACAACTACAGCGTTCGCTCTGCCTTTTACTCTGCCTCCCCTCTACCGTTCCAGATTACATATAAATAGGTCTTGTACTGCCGATTTCCACGTTATTTGAGAACTGAGGAGCTTGCGATCAGACGTCTCACAGGAAGGTATGCTACTATACGAAAGGCCAAACCCCTAAAGAGTGCCTCATAAATTACCGAAAACATTGGTCAACAGGAAAATGTTACTGCTGACAATGTTTTTTAAGATATGAACAAAATTGAAAACAAGCAATATGCACGCATTGATACTTTATTTGGAAATCCAGATATCCATAATGAACTCATAAGACTAATGTAGAGTAATGATAGCAACATGAACATCATCAAACAATTCCATCCGCATAGAAATTCAGTTCCATACACAACACTTCAAATCATATGGGCCTGCCATGCAACTGATCCAGCTGCATTGTTGAAGTACAACTTCAGATACTCTCGCAACTGTTTTCCTGCTCGTGTGTCTCGGTTTTGGTCCAACTACTTGTGCAACATCATGCATATTTGCTTGTTGTCTCTATTCTCCAGGTATGGCGTCGTGGTTATCGTCTCCAGTGTAAAGTGCAACATCCTGTAGCGTTGGATATCGGTCTTGCATTGTATTGTGAAGACAAATGCATGCTTCAATCACATCCTGGACTGAATTAGGCATCAGCTGCATCGTTGAAAGTAGAACTTGAAATCGCTGAGCCAAAATGTCAAACCCATTTTCAACTATTCTTCCACGAGAGATACGATAGTTGAAGATCCGTTGCTCCCTGGTGAGTGCCCTGATTGAATATGGCTTCATCATGTAGGTTCTGAGGGCAAATGCATCATTCCTGAGTAGGAAGAATGGTATGTCACGGTCAACATTCGGCAATGGCTCAGGAGTTGGAAAGTTTATTGTGCCATCTTCGAGGCAGGTCTTCAGTTCAGATTCATTGAAAATCTGGCCGGCTGACATCGTTCCAACACCACCAACATCACACCATAAATGTGTATAATTTGCATCCACTAATGCAAGAAGAACAAAAGAAAAATCCCTTATAGTTGTGGTAGAGACAACCTGTGTTTGGTGGACAATGCACGGCTATATGTTTCCCATCAATGGCTCCGCATGCATGGGGTAAGTTCCAACGTCTCGGAAAGTCATCTGCAACAGCTTTACACTCTTTGGAGTTTCTTTGGCATTTGACAACTTTTTTCCTTATATCCATCTCTGATAGCTCTACAAACTTCAGGCACAAAAATAGAGATCGTGCTGCGTGACACACGATACTGGTACTGGAGGCTTGGGTATTTGTCCCCAGTTGCAAGGACCCTGAGGGTTACGGCAAGTTTCAAACCTGGCTCTAAACCAATTCGTGTTCTTTTTGGCGATTCTTAGGTCAACCCGTTGGAGTTCGTCAAAAAAGGCTAGCTTCATTCTCAGATAATTGTAGAATGACCCTTCATCTTCTAGACGCAGTTCTTGCATTAGTTGGTTGTAGTCCCCAATTGCAACCGTCTGTGTGTTGCATCAACCATGGGTGGACCCACAGGGTTCTCAGTCTTCTTCTTCTACGTCTATTCATCCTTCTATTTAAGATGGCAATGGCTATCTGGTTGAAAAACAATGCTTGTTGACCTTGCAAAAAAGCTATTTGCAAACGCAGTTCATTGTTCATGCTTACTAAAGTCGTTATACGATGATT